GGAGGTGAGGACACCCCAGGGGTCCCTGGGCAGGATGGGTGGGGTGGGGTGGGGTGGGCAGGAGGCTGCCCAGCAGCTGCCGTGTCCCCACAGGGCATCAGCGATGGGGTGGCCCTGGTGCAGGCCGTGGTCCCCAAGAACCAGGCCCATTCCTTCATCACTCAGGGATCCCCCGACATCCTGGTGAGTGTGGGGAAACTGAGGCACGGGGCCGTTTTGCTGGTTGAGGGGGATGCAGGACCAAACCAGGGATGATCCCGGCAGTGAGAGCGGTGTCACCTCCCTTTCCCCTCTGCCCAGGTCACCGTGAGTGCCAACGGCTTGCTGGGGACCCACAGCTGGCTGCCCTACGACAAGAACATCTCCAACTACTTCAGCTTCACCAAAGACCCCACTGTCACCAACGCCAAGTGAGTCACCGGGGCACAGGGACGGTCCCTGGAGGTGCCACCGATCCGTCACCACCATCCCACATCCCTCCTGACAGGACCCAGCGCTTCCTGCAGGGCCCCTTCGCCCCCGGGGCCGACCTGAGCTCCCGCACGCTGGCCGTGTCCCCCGACGGGAAGCTGCTCTTCAGCGGGGGACACTGGGACAACAGCCTCCGTGTCACCTCGCTGGCCAAGGGCAAGGTGGTGGGGCACATCACCCGGCACATAGGTACATCCTCCTCCCTGGTGATGATGATGATGATGATGGTGATGATGATGATGATGATGATGGTGAGATGATGCCCTGACGGGGTTGTAGGGCCATGGCGGGAGGCGGGTGGCACCGTGAGGGACATCTCCCATTGTCCCCATCTCCTGGGGACAGTCCAGGTTCCAACCTCAGAGCTGGAGTGGGGTGAGGAGCAGGACACCCCAAAATCCACCTTGGAGTGGGATTGGCAGCAATCCCACATCTGAAAGCGCATCGTGGTGCCATCCCATGGAGTCAGCGGGCCCGGCGTGCTGGGGGACCACCACCTCACGGTGTCCCTCTGGCTGTCACAGATGTTGTCACCTGCCTGTCGCTCGACCTCTGCGGCATCTACCTCATTTCTGGCTCACGGGACACCACCTGCATGGTGTGGCAGGTCCTACAGCAGGTAAGGGCTCGAGAAGCAGGGGGAGCTTGTGGTGGTGGCACTGCCAGCAGGTCACTGATGTCCCCGTGTCCCCGACGCCAGGGTGGCTTTTCCAGTGGCTTGGCTCCCAAACCCGTCCAGGTGCTGTACGGCCACGACGCCGAGGTGACGTGCGTGGCCATCAGCACCGAGCTGGACATGGCCGTGTCCGGCTCCAAGGTGAGCTGCTGGGGCCGTGGGGTGGGCGTGGGATGGGCAGTGCCACCACCGCCATCACCCTGTGTCCCCTTCCTCCCCCAGGATGGCACCATCATCACCCACACCGTGCGCCGGGGTCTCTTCATCCGCTCCCTGCGGCCGCCCGGCGAGAGTTGTCCCCCTGCCCTCCTGTCCCACCTGGCCGTGGGGCCCGAGGGGCAGGTGGTGGCCCAAACCGCCGTGGGGCAGCCCTCCTGCTGCAAGGTACGTCCGGGTGTCCCCATTGTCCCCTCCCGGGTGGCACCGCCACCACGCTCCCCCCGTGCTCCTTGCAGGACAGGTTCGCGCTGCACCTGTACTCGGTGAACGGGAAGCTCCTGTCCTCCGTCCCGCTGGACCGGGAGGTGACAGCCATGTGCCTGACCGAGGACTTTGTGGTGCTGGGGACCTCGGAGTGCGGGCTGGAGATCCGTGAGCTCCAGAGGTGAGGGATGGCTGGGCCTTGTCCTATCCCCAACATGCCCTCAGGATGTCCCATGCTGTGGTGTCCCTGCCATAGTGTCCCTGTGGTGGTGTCCCACACTGTGGTGTTCCATACCATGGTGTCCCACACCGTGGTGTCCCTGCGGTGGTGTCCCACACCATGATGTCCCACACCGTAGTGTCTCATCCCATGGTGTCCCTGCCTTGGTATCCCACACCGTGGTGTCCCACACCATGATGTCCCTGTGGTGGTGTCCCTGCCTTGGTGTCCCACACCATGATGTCCCACACACCGTGATGTCCCACACTGTGGTGTCCCTGCTATGGTGTCCCACACCGTGATGTCCCACACCATGGTGTCCCACACCGTGGCGTCCCACATCGTGATGTCCCACACCGTGGTGTCCCTGTGATGGTGTCCCTGCCTTGGTGTCCCACACCATGATGTCCCACACCATGATGTCCCTGTGGTGGTGTCCCTGCCTTGGTATCCCACACCGTGGTGTCCCTGCGGTGATGTCCCACACCGTGGTGTTCCACACTATGGTGTCCTTTCCTTGGTGTCCCACACCATGATGTCCCACACACCGTGATGTCCCACACTGTGGTGTCCCTGCTATGGTGTCCCACACCGTGGTGTCCCTGCGGTGATGTCCCACACTATGGTGTCCTTTCCTTGGTGTCCCACACCGTGATGTCCCACACTGTGGTGTCCCTGCTATGGTGTCCCACACCGTGGTGTCCCACACTGTGGTGTCCCACACCGTGGTGTCCCTGTGGTGGTGTCCCTGCCTTGGTGTCCCACACCGTGATGTCCCACACCATGGCTCGTGTCCCCAGCCTCAGGGCGGCCGTGCCCCCTGTGCCCATGCGCGTGCCCGTGCGCAGCGTGTCCGTCACCAAGGAGAGGAGCCACATCCTGGTGGGGCTGGAGGACGGGAAGCTCATCGTGGTGGGAGCTGGGCAGCCCGCGGAGGTGAGCGGGACCCCCGGGCAGGCCAGGACGTGGCTCGGTGTCCCCTGGGTGTTCCCGGGGTGGGGACATCGGTGTGTCCTCTCCAGAGCTGGGGTGGGCAGGGAATGTGGGATAGGGATGGGGTGGAGATGAGGGTCTGGAGGGAGAAGGGGATGAAGATGGGGATGGATAAAGGGATT